AAATTGAGTTGAGTTTAAAATTTATATAACTTGAATCAAATCAAATTGAAAGATTTTATAAAATAAATTTGACTCAATTCAACTCAAAAAATGAGTCGAATAGAGTTGGTCTTTAAACTTGACTCGATTCGACTTATTTGAAACTCTACTTATATCACTTTTATGTTCTAACTATGTCTTTAAGTTTTTCTTGATATTCAAGTTTTTTATGTTAATATACTTTTATTACCACAATATAATCTAATTACCATATGCATATAATCTAAATATCACATTTCTAGATATCTAAATGTGGTAAAAAAATATGATGTCAGGTAACGCAATAAATTTGTGATTAATTTTGGCTAGCATTATACCATAATTTCAGCTAATCTTTTAGACATGTGATTCGAAAATCCAGCTTAGCACCATGATGGTGACTTGATAGTATTCTGGAACTACTGTGAAGCTGTTATGGAACTAGTGAGAAACTATCATGAAAGTGTTATGGAACTGGCAGTTTGCTAGTTTGGATGCCAAGCTATTATGTTTAAAGATCTGGTCAAAATTGTGGAATAATGCTGATTGGATTTATACTACGCCTTACTGTGTCAGTCACGTGATTCTGTTACAACACTAAACACCTTTTATAGTTACGGGATAGTGACAGAAATGTTCTAGAAATATTTTCAGAATCTAATATATATGCATTTGTGCCACATATTTTTGTATTTATATATTTTCTAGCACTCTTAAGCTCCAGTCTGGTAGTCAGTTGGTTAGAGAATTAGTGATGAAATATGTATTATATTGGTCTGACCTATTTGATTACTAAAAGTGCATTATTTTACAATCCAACTATTGTCTATTTTTTGCTAATATATTGGTGGGATGTTGTAAGCACTTCTGAGGCCTAATCATGATTTAATCTAGGTTGTGGCAATGAGTATGCTATTTTTTTAGCGTTCCTATAAAAATTCTCTGTCCCTATAAGAAAAATTCATAGGACGCTTATAGGGACAATCTCAATATTATTTTTAGGTTTCTTAGCTTGATTTATTGAGTTCTTTATTACTTGTCTCTATGTTCCTATGAGTTCCTATGAAATATAAAAGTTCTAGGAAAAAAATCAAAATTTATTTGGTATACTGAACAAATATAATCATATATATAATTGATATAATTGATATATGATCGATATATGATATAAAAAAAAATAAAAAAAGGTAAAGAGTTCAGAAATTCATAGGAACTCATAAGAACATAAAAACAAGTAGTAAAATTGCCTTTCCAGAGTTCTAAAATCATTAAAAAAGATACTTCTAACATCTTTGTTAAGTTTTTTTGCCATCCCTATAAATTTTTCATAAGGCCAAATTTTTGATAAATCATTAAGACCAACTTATAGCATTAGGTATTTTCATTCTATCGAAAGCCTGCCCTAATGTTTCTGAAGTTTGCCCATTTTAAAGCATCTTAGCCAACTTCTTTCAGTGATAATTTGCTCTTGAATGGCACTTATTTACATGCAAATTATAAAACTCATATTTAGAAGCTGTCAGTCTTACACATGCATCTTATTTGCATAGAGCTCGCTAGCATCTTTTTTAATAAATACCATACTGTACTGCTTAAAATACCTCCTTTTAAGAATACTCCCACTTTAAAAGATCCGGGTATTTAATTAGATATAAAAAATTATTCTTAGGTTAAGATTCAGGTATTATTCAATTTTTGATCATAGGTATTTTATATAAGACTCAGATACAAATTAATTTGTGTATAGATAATTTCACATTTATATTTGTAGCAATTATTAAGATTTTGTATCATATTTACTATGATAAAATTTTAAATTTTACTGTGAAAAAATCATTATTTATTTAACTAAAAATTCAATATTAACACCAATCCTGAAGTATATTGTGTTCTTCATTTATTTCATAATAATTATCCTCTGATTCACTATTATCATCTGGTTCATAATCACTATTACTACTTTTATCATGATTTTTGCCATCCTCTTTAATTCCTCTTCCATAATTATTTATATTTTGTACTTTATTAAAATTGAAAATTAAACTATCTTCTGATCCATTGATTGCATTTAAAATTTCACAATATTTAAATGAATGTCTAATAATATTAATATCAACAGCATTTCAACTTTTCTTTACCCAGATTGCCATAAGTGAGTAAGACAGTCTTTTAATCTTTTCAGATGATGTGTATTCTTTGATTTCTTCATTCATCCAATGGTTATAATGATGTCGCATCTATTTTTTATTTCAAATAAGTTAATGTAATTTATTTAAATATTAAAAATTAAATAAAGAAATTACCTTATCTTTAAATGGTTTATTTAATAATATATCAAGTGGTTGTAGGCAAGAAGTTAATCTGCCTAGAATGACAGCCAGATCAGTATTTTTTTCGCGAAATCACTTTTTTACAGCATCAGTTTTATGTGCAATAAAAGAATCTAATACTAAAAGAGATCTTGGATTAATGCCTCGTCTTACACGTTATACCTAAACATTTTCTATCTACCAAATCATCTCATCTTCATTCATCCAACTTTTTGGATTAACATGAATAATTACTCCATCAAGATACTCTCTTCGCGAAATGTTTATAAGTTTAAAAATAATTACTAGTAGCAATTTTGTTTCATCAGTCATATAAGCTAAGACAACAGTAAAATTTGCATGTTCATGCCCAGTTAATAAAGTTGAAATAGTTTTAGTATCACATTACTCAACTATTGTATTGCTTGGTAAATTAAATGCAACTAGCATTTCATTCATATTTACCATTAAAGATGATAAAAATTAATACTCTTTGCTATGAAAAAGTATATACTTTATTGCTCAATATAATTTTCTGAAAGTCGTTAAACAACTGTTGTCTTTCTTCTATTAACTAAATTATGATGAGACATAAAACTATCAATCCATTTTTAAGAAAACTTTACTTCTTTTATCTTTGAGTATATTGTTTCATATACTGGTTTTTTGGCTAAAGAATGTGTTTTTGCTTGAATCATATAATGAGAAACTGTTTTTAATTGACTTTGAGACTCTTTAAACTATTCTATAAGTTCAGTTCAAATTGTGAATATTTTAGCCGTACACCTGAAACCAGTGATGTACATTTTTAATGTTCCAGAAATTTGTTGTCCCAGCTATATGTTCCAGCTATATGTCCCAACCTGTCCCACACTATGTCCCAAATGTCCTATCTATCCCATCTATGTCCCATCAGTATCCCATCAATGTCCCATGACAACACTGCCTGAAATAAGCTTTGAGTATAATGAGTAAAGAAAGCGCTGCAACTGGTTGCAACCGGTGACAAATAAGCATCACAGGGTTGCAACTAGTTGCAACATTAATAAAAATTGAGTTGC